TTTAATTGTTTTCTTCTTATTAAAGAAGAGCCTTTAACATTTCATATAATACTGGTTTGATGGTGATGAACTCCTTTAACTTTTTATTGCCTGGAAAGTTCTTTATATATCCTTTGATTCTAAATGATAGCTTCCTTGGGTGGAGTATTCTTGGTTGTAGTTCTTTGCTGTTCATCACTTTGAATATTTCTTGCCACTCCCTTCTACCCTGCAGAGTTTCTGTTGAGAAATCAGTAACTAACTGCTTTTCTCTTGTTGCTTTTAAGATTCTGTCTTTGTGTTTAACCATTTGTACCTTACTTATGATGTGTTTTGGTGTGGACCTCTCTAGGTTCATCTTGTTTGGGACTCTCTGTGCTTCCTGGGCTTATATGCCTCCTAGAGGCCCATGCACCAGTGGGTCCCTTGGCCTGGCCTGTGGCTTCTCACAATCCAGAACTCCTTGGGGAATGTCAGACTGACAGTTTCAGCCTGATCCCCACAGACCAGGCCGAGGGACCCCACTGGTGCACAAATCTGTGCACCGGACCTCTAGTGTGCATATAAGATCTTTGGTTAATCTCTTCCGGCCCTCCCTGTGCCCCCTTCCCCCTGAGATTCATCAGTCTGTTCCATGTTTCTATGCCTGTGCATTGAGTGTCTGCCCCCTGGTGGTCAGTTGCATCATAGCTACCAGTCAAACAGTCAAGTGGTCAGTCACTTAGGTTTATATATATATTTCCTTCACAGGTTAGAGAAGTTTACTGTCATTATTTTTCAATTTCTTGTTTTCTCTCTTCTCCCTCCACACCCCATGATGCAAATGTTAGTACACTTGAAGTTGTCCCAGAGGCTACTTTCACTATCCTCAATATTTTCTGGTTTCTTTTTTCTTTCTTTCTTTCTTTCTTTCTTTCTTTCTTTCTTTCTTTCTTTCTTTCTTTCTTTCTTCCTTCCTTCCTTCCTTCCTTCCTTCCTTCCTTCCTTCCTTCCTTCCTTCTTCTTCTTCTTCTTTCTTTCTTTCTTTCTTCTTTCTTTCTTTTTTTTTTTTTTTTTTGGTGCTGTTCTGATTGGGTGGTTTTTTGTTTGTTTGTTTGTTTTTGCTTATATTCCAAATAGCTTATTTGGTTCTCATTTTCATATACTCTACTGTTAATTCCCTATAAATTATTCATCTGTTAGTATATTAGTGTATCCTTTATTTCTGACATGGTCTTCCTTTTTTTTTTTTAATTCTTCATATCTATGGATGAGGACAATAGGGGACGGGGAGGGGTCCAAGGGTGGGGTGGGAACCTGGTGGAGGGGGGAAGAAATGAGGAACCTTTGTAATAATATGAACAATAAAGATTGATTTTTTTAAAAAATTCTTCATCTGTGGATATTTTTGCATTGTTTTTATTTTAAAGAGAGTGGAAAAAGAGGGAAAGACAGAGAGAAACATTGATGTGAGAGAAACACATTGATTGGTTGCTTCCTGCACACGCCCCAGCCAGGGCATGGGCTTGGGGGGAGTCTGCAACTGAAGTATGTGCCCTTGACTGTAATAGAAACTGGGACTTTTTGGTCCATAACCAAACCACTGAACCAAACCAACCTCATTCTTTTTTTATGGTTTCTATGTCCTTTTTCAAGCCTTTGAAGTTCTCACTAAGTTCCATGAGCATCCTTATAACCATTGTTTTGAACTCTGGATCTGTTTGCTTGCCTCCATTTCATTTAGTTCTTTTTCTGGAAATTTCTCTTTTCTTTCTCTCTCTTTTTTTTTTTCCATTTAGGACCTGATTCTTTGTCTCTGCATTTTGTCTGTTTTCTATGTGTTAGGTAGACCTGCTGCATCTCCCAGTCTTGTTAGAGTGGCCTGTGTAACAGGTGTCCTGTAGGGTGCAGTGGTGCAGCCTCCCCAGTCACTTGAGCGGGGCGCTCCTGTGTGGACTGTGTGGATTGTCCTGTTGTAGTTGAGTCTTGAGTGCTGTTGGTGGCATTGGGAGGGATTGAGGCCCAGGCCCATAAGTTACCAGATACAACTACAGCAGAGGAACTTCTGTTCAGGAGTTGAGCCTATAGAGCAGGACTAGCTTCAGTGGGGCTTTGGTGCCCACCAAGTCTGTCCCCTTGAGTGTGTCACTTGTGGAGGTAAACGATTAATATCTGGTGTGGTTTGAAGCTGTCTACCAGGTGCGAGGTCTGCCCATGGCCTGTGCCCTCCCTGGGGCCAGCCGGCACAGCTATAGAGTGATATGCGGATAGCCACCTGTGCTGGGCTGGGAGGTACCCAGGAGGTGCTAAGCTGCCACTGTGTCAGGCTTGGGGTAACTTATTGAGAGGTATGGAATACACAGACACCAGATCTATTTGTTTGAGAGATTTTAGAAAAGTCCAAATCATGAGGCACGAAAGGCCATTTGTATGGGAAAGCCACTTGGAAATGGTTTGGGCAGGGCAGGATCTCAGGGAATCTGGGCAAAGAGTGTGAACCTGATTGATGGAGATCCACACATAGTGCCCATCTGCCAGCTCTATGGGGGGTGGGGTCTCCAAAAAGGAACAATGGTCACTGCCAGAACATTATTCTGGCAGAAATTTTCCCCTCACTTCTTGCTCTGATGTCAGACAATCCAGTTTCTCCCTTTATGTCCCTGGTTCCTTTCAAGCTGCTGCTCAGCACTGGAGCTCAGAGGGAGTGAGTCTGAGTAAGTCCCTGTGTGAGCCCTTAAGGGGAACTGTGTGGGACTCCAGCAGCCTGTCTCACTCAGCCACGATCCCTGCTGGTTTTCACAGCCAGAAGTTATGGGGACCTCTCTTCCTGGCTCTGGGAATCCTCACTCCTCAGGGGGGACCTCTGTAGCTGAGACATCCCTCCCAATCTTATTTTATTTAAAAAATCTTACTGATTTTTTTACAGTGTGAGAGTGAGCAAGAGTTAGTGTGTGTGTGTGGGGAGAGAGGAGAGGGAGAGAGAGAGAGAGAGAGAGAGAGAGAGAGAGAGAGAGAGAGGAGAGAGAGGAGAGAGAGAGAGGAGAGAGAAAGAGAGAGAGAGAGTCATCAATTTGTTATTCCACTTATTTATGCATTCATTGGTTGATTCTTGTATATGCTGACTGGGAAAGGAGCCTGCAACTTTGGCATACGAAGACAATGCTCTAACCAATTGAGCTACCTGGCCAAAGCCCTCTCGATTTTAAACCACCACACATGTGTGAGGGACCAGCCTGTCCCACATCTCTGCCACTCCTACCGGTCTCAATGTGGCTTCTTCTTTAATCCCTAGTTGTATGATTTCCATGCAGCTAGATTTCAGGTGGTTCTGAATGATGGTTGTTCCGTAGTTTACTTGTAGTTTTGATGTGGCTGTGGGAGGATTCAGGTACCACATGTATCTATGCCGTTGTCTTCACTAGAAGTCTGGAGTAAGTAGCTTTGACAAAGTGTGGCTCAAACTGCCTGAGCTGGTCTCTTTGGACTTGGAGGATTTCTAATTATAGTGATGCTCTTTAATTTTATAGTTTCTATATTTTTTTAAATCAATCTTTATTGTTCATATTATCACAAAGGTTCCTCATTTCTTCCCCCCTCCACCAGGTTCCCACCCCCGCACTGTCCTCATCCATAGGCGCACAGTTTATGTTGAGTCTCTTCTCGCATCCACCACTCCCCTTTTCCCCGAGAATTGTCAGTCCACTCCCCTCCCGTATTTCTGATTCTATTATAATCAACAGTTAATATTTTTCATAAGGTTTTTAAATTTCCTTTTGTTGTTTTTGTTGTTTTTTTAATTAATAAACTTTTATATTTTTAAGAATAAATTTTAAAATCTAATAATTTTAAACCTTGTTTTTTCTGCTCTGGGAACTGAGAAGCAAACTTGTTTACATGTAAACTCGCCCTTGGGCTATCAAAGGGTGTAGCCATTCAAATGTAAATGAATACATTGTTTAAAGATAGCTGCTGGCTGGAATTGGATTACCTGTTCTGGGTGGGAAGGGCTTGTCCTCCCCTTTCTCCATTAAAATTAAGGTGTTAGCTTTAAAACTTCTTTTTGGCAAGAGACCTTAAACTTTCAGAACTTTAAATTTTTCAGGTAGTAAATCAGTTACTTAGCATTTTCTCAAATCAATAATACCTCCACATGCCCAAGGTTACACTTCACACAAAAGACACTTGCAAATAGATCAACCAACCTCATCCAGACCCTACACAAGGCACTCACAGATCAACACCCCAGCGCTATAACAATTCAACACATCCAGATCTAAGCCTTCATCCCTTGATTCAGCAGACCCTCAAGTTCCCCCAAAAGTTTCCAGCCATGTCTGAGAGGCAGCCCTATGGCATGGGCAGGTGAGGAGCGAGCTGTTCTGGGCCCGGCTGCTCCGGGCCTGGCCTCTGTTGCTCTGATCTGTTCCACGACCAGCTGCTCCTGGCCTGGCTGCTGCTGCTCCAGGCCTGGCTGCTCTGGGCCCGGCTGCTCCGGGCCTGGCCGTTCCCAATCTGGCCGCTCCCGCCTGGCTGCTGCTGCTGCTTAGTGATGCTCTTTAGCACAAGGGATTGTTCTACTTGAGTGGGCATACCTCCATGTATCTGCACTTGTAATTTTACTTACTTATTTTTATATTTATTTATTTTTCATTGGGATAATTTTTAGAGAAAGGAGGACACACACACACGCACACAGAGAGAGAGAGAGGGAGAGAGAGAGAAACATTGATGTGAGAGAGAAACATTGTTTGCCTCCCACATGCGCTCTGACTGGATTGAACCCGTATACTGGGTTTGTGCCCTGACCAGGAATCAAACTGCCTTCTCTTGTTGTGTGGGATGACACTGCAACCAAGCAAGCCACCCAGGCCAGGGCTCTCCCAGTTTCATATGTGAGACCTTGGCTAAATTTAAAAATGTTGTAAATATTTTGGAAATGGTATCTCAGAATATACTGGTCATTAGTCCAATTTGAGTACATCTTATAGAAACTGGAGAGTTCCTGCTTTTTCTTTATTACCAGGGATGTAAAAGAGAGAAACACAAGTTGATAAATTTATTTTTGGGTAACTTCATGGTTTTCATTGCTAAGGAAGGGTGCAGATTGTTTAAGAAATAAAAAGATCCCACATAAAACCCAAAGGCCTTATTCTCTGGTTCTTACTAGGCCCAAAGTTCAACTGATTTGAAAATAAATAATTAAACAAAATTTCTTCCTAGAAAGTGCACTCTGGCGCCACGATAGAATAGGGTCCACGTTTTAAATCCTACGCAACACACACACGGACTGCGCCTGTTGAGACGGGTCACCGTGGAGTGGGGAGGCTGGCTGCGCGTCCTCGCCCTGGGCCAGCCCTGGGGTCCCTCCGGCGCTACACGATGTGCAGGACTTTGAAGGCGGCCACGGCCTGCTTCTCCCGCTCGTGCCTGCTCTGCAGGATGCCCAGCAGGGAGATCTCCGGCAACTTGTCTTCTCCAGCAGAGGTTGGATTTTTCTTTTCCTTTGACGCCTGGTCAGCCAGATTTGAAGGTTTGGGTTTGGGGATGGTCTTAGCGTATTCCAAAGCCTGAAAGCATACAGGTGAAATTTTATTTGAAATGGGAGTGAGCCCTGGATTCCTTAAATTAAATGTGGTCTTAGGGAATATTTATTGATAACATAAGGGGAGGCTATTGCTACAATAATGTGGTAAGATGTGTATGGACTTGGAGATCAAATGGAAAATGCAAATAATGCAGTATAATTTACAGCTTAAGCAACATAAACCAGCCACACAAGAATTAGCGATTTAAAGTACCTTCTGTTGTTATTTATAAAGCACAGTCTTATTCAGTGCTTGAAAATAGATTTGCCCTGCGTTTGACCGAGTTAGCTCTAGCAGTCTCGATAAAGCCAAACTTGTCACAAGGAGATATTACAGACCTTTCACCCAAAGAGGACTTGTTACCAATTTAGACCAAGATTTACTCTGAAAATCGCACTGCCATTGTGACACCAGCTGCTCATGCCCCTGGCCTTTCAGAAGTCTGGCAAGTACTTATTAGAGGTTAGAAATTGTTATTTTTCCTTTTTCGTATACTGTCTAAACATGGATACTGGAAAAGGCAGGTTTTCTTTCTTTTCTTTTCTGAGCGATGCCAGTTCTGAAAGGCATTACAATAAAATGTTATCTCTAAATGTGATTTCTAAATCTGCCTTTATGTCAGTTTTCTATTTTCACCAGAGTTTGTTGGTGGCTACCACAGGAAGGGATGGGACGGAGTCCTAGAAGGGGAAAAACGCCCTCAGGAGAGAGAAGCTGCAGTCCTCGCTGTGCGGCAGCGCCCCTGTGAGCCCCTCAGGACAGACGGGCTGCCTGGAATCCCGTGTGCAGCATTAACGGGGTGGGGAAGGAGAGAAAAAGGGGCAGCAGGGTGACTCCGCGGAGGAGGCGCAGGCCTGAGGAAGGCAGGCGGTGAATAAGACAGGAGCTGGTCTGAGAGAGAACATGCACGCACTCCTGCAGGCACCAGGCCGGCCTTCCCGGGCCTGAGCAGGGGCCTGTGGAGCAGGAACCCTTCCCTGCAGGTCGTGCCTGGGTTGGAGGAATATGGCTGCGAGAGAGAGAGAGAGAGAGAGAGTCTGCATTTTATGAAATCATTTTCCTTGGATAGAGGGAGCTGTACGTGACCACCCCCGGGGAGAATGTAGGAGAATGAGCTTGAGAGAAACAACGAAGGACTTGGTTTGGACACGGGCCCCATCAAGAGCACGAAAACACCACTGCCTGAAGGCTCACTTCACTGCAGAGAAAAAACCGACAGCAGAAACCACCAATCCCGGTTCACTAAGAAACCAAACCCCTGCCGGGACCGGTTTGGCTCAGTGGATAGAGCGTCGGTCTGGGGACTGAAAGGTCCCGGGTTCGATTCCGGGCAAGGGCATGTACCTTGGTTGCAGGCACATCCCCAGTGAGGGGTGTGCAAGAGGCAGCTGATCGAAGATTCTCTCTCATCGATGTTTCTAACTCTCTATCCCTCTCTCTTCCTCTCTGGGAAAATCAATAAAATATATTAAAAAATAAATAAATAAAAATGAAATCCAAACCCCTGTTTGATCTTCATCGTGCGGCAATCCCTGAACACTATAGTGAGAAGGAAGCTGATGAGTGAAGGCAATAACCTTGCCGCGCCCTTTGTGTGGCTATCACGCTCCATCCACGCTGTGATGACGGGCAGCTGCAGGAACGGCAGCAGCTAAAACACGCCCTGTGCCCAGCCAGCGCGTGGCCCACTGAGTTGTGAGGCAACAAAGGTTTCCTTTCATTCTAGCGGAGAGGGCGAGGGCGCTGCCCCCGTGGTCTCACCTTCTGCCGGGAGAGGCCGGGGCTGTTCTCGGGCTTTGCCGCCGGCGGGTGGGACAGGAGGGAGAGGGTCTTCATGTTGTACTCCTTCACCTGCTTCGCGTATTCCTTCTGCTGTCTTAGTTTCTGCATCTTTCAGAGAAACAGAGTGACAGTGATGGCTGCTCCTGCCAGCTCCCTGTTCGCTATTAAAGAGTCCCTGGCATTGTCTCAGCCACACAGGGAGGGCGGGCAGTGGAGCAGAGCTGTCTCCACGAAACATCAGACTAGATTAAGATGTTTCCATCAGTTTGAAGAATATCTTAATCAAGCTGATGTTTCTCCCAGAAGCAGCCTCTCCAGGGAAAGGGGTGTGTGTGTGTGTGTGTGTGTGTGTGTGTGTGTGTGTGTGTGTGAAGGGGGGCACGTGGCTGCATACACACCCAGGGGTCCCTTCATAGCGGCTAAATCACATTCAGCCTCTTCTTTGTTGCATTTACCCAATTTATTTTCATTTTTGCTTCCAACTTTGAACTGTACTCTCTTTTTATGCCTTGAGTGCAACTGCAGTTAAAACACATTAAGTGAAGATCTCCTTTCACTGCGGAGAGAATAAAGTGGGTGCACTTCCTGGGCTGGGGCACTCTCACCCTAAGTGTCTCCCTGCAGCCGCCTCGCACAATTACCAGCCGACTCGGGGGAAAGCCCCGCACGCGTGCACGCACGGCTCTCTCCACGCGCCCCCCTTTTCTGCTCGGGCCTTCAAAACCGAACGGTGGACGGATACGAACACAACCTTGCTGAGTGATTTTATTTCACAGCGAGAGGAATGCCCGGGTCTCTGTTACTGGTGATATTTCAGAAGTGTCTCTATTCAGAGTGAGACACTCGAACGAGGGCTGGGTTCTGGGAGGGCATCTTATACAATTTTTGCTAAAAGACAGATGGGCAAATCCCAGCCTGAAGACACACTATATGCATGCCACACTCACTTTGTCTCTGATGGACTCAAGGTCAGGTCCAAGGCCTCCAAGCTTCACATCTCCTTTCTGATAACCTTTCAGCTTGGGACTCTGGAACACATTCACAGAGACAGTTTCTTTTAAGGACTTGTCCGCCCTCACAGTCCTCACAGCCACCACAGCAGGCAGGGGAGGGGAAGGGGTGTATTTCCTGACAGCCCTTCCGCTCCAATGGGAGTTATGGTAATAGTTTCGTTGGTGTTTTGTAGCTGGCTAGCTAACATGTTTTCACCTGTCCACTTCTAAAATTAAATATTTGAAATCTGAACGTCATTAATAAAAAATTTCAAGTGAGCAAAGTGCTATTTTGGTGTTAACATGTTTAATATACTGGTAACATGTACATGACCACTTTGCTGCTGCTGCTATTAATTTATGTATAGTCTTTTAAATATATATATATTTTTATTTCAGATAGGAGGGAGAGATAGAAACACCAATGATGAGAATGACCGATTGGCTGCCTCCTGCACGCCCCCTACTGGGGATCGAGCCCATAAACCAGACATGTGCCATTGACCAGAATCGAACCTAGAACCCTTCGGTTCGCAAACCAATGCCCTATCCACTGAGCCAAACCAGCTAGGGTAGCAAGTCGGTTTTAATGTCAAAAGCATCAGTTTGAAGAATATCTTAATCTAGTCTACAGTCAGGAGAGTATTTGAGTTTTTCCTGCCTGTTACTGTGTTCAAGTGTCATCATCAATTGCCTCATGTTACTTCATGCCTTCAAAGATAAAAACATTAATAAGAGTTAGGTAAAATTAATCAAATCATTTAAAATATCCAACTCACATTGAATCAAAGGAGTTTCTCTGTAGGTCATGCCTAGACTCTTACTGTTTTTTGAATATTATAACATCACTAGAGGCCGGTGCCTGAATTCATGCACAGGTGGGGTCTGGCCGGCCCTGCCCCTGATTGGGGTGGGTAGGGCCAGCCAGGGGTGGGGCTGTTGGTGGTTGGCCAGCAAGCCCCACCCCCTTGTTGAACTCGAAAGGACAATTTGAATATTACTCTTTTATTATATAGGATATTTCTATTTCTCTCTCCCTCTCCCTTCCTTTCAGAAATCAATAAAAATACATATATTTTAAAAACAAACAAAAAATTGACATGCTGCTTATAGCAGATGCCCTTGTGGGGAAACTAAATCTTTCTTTTTTAGTTTGTGAGTTTATTTAGCTTCCTTCCTTGGGGAGGGTAGAGGACAATGCCCAAAGATGGCGTGGATGACAGTACTTCTCTCAGGGCATGTCCGGGCTGGTGCTGCGTTTGGTGGGAGAGGGAAGAGCAGCCCACGGAGGTGGTGGTGCTGTGGGGCCGGGAGGGCACTGTCTGTATCTCGGGACCTGGCATGGTGCTCTTCTCCTTTTGAAAGCTCCTGTGAATAAAGTCCTAAGGCACACAAACACCCAGTGTGCCTTTCCATAGACAGAATTTGGCAGATAGTCCAGAGGCGTAACAAACACCACCTCCATTTCATCACGTCAGATACAGTCACTGTGTACAACTCTCAGACCTCAGCAGTGAACTCATGTCCACACAGGCCTCTTGACGGACTACCCGGAGGTCATACCCATTCGTGTCTCTGCTGCCATTTCCCATTTTGGAGGCTCAGAGCCAAATACTCTTTTCACAAAGACACCGAGCACCGAGCACCGAGGTCTGGCCCATGAAGTATGAGTGACAATTTTCTGGGTTGGGTGGAGGGGACATCTGAGAGAGCTTTTATGTGGCCTGGGGCAGCCCACCCCTTTCCCTTCATCTCCGGTGACATGTGATGTGAATTCTGCGGCCGGAGCTTCAGAGGCAATCTTGCAGCCAGGAAAAGGAAAAAGAATTATACAAACACTCGTTCTGATGTTTTGAGACGTAGAACCACTATGCTAGCAACTATTGTACTTCCTTGCAGGTTAGTTGTAAGGAAAATGAACCCATGTGTTTGAAGTTGCTGTTCATGTTAACTCTGAGACTCATAGCTGAAGGCCACATTTCTATGGTACCACATTTCTATGGTACCACGACACATTTCTATGGTACCAAGGCCACATTTCTATGGTACAGTACCACGACATGTCCATGGAGAGCCAGCAGCATGTGCCTCCGAGGCAACACTTCTACACTGCCAGGGGTGAAAGCTCTGAAAATGGAGCCTGCCCAACGAGAATGACAAATATTTAGTCAAAACTCTTTCTGTGCACTGAATTCTAAAAGGTGAGAGAAGATACTTTCCTAAAGAAGCCTTCGGACCACCGTAAAATCATTAAAAACCAACAACATTGAGGTGAATATTACTCATTGACTGCATTTCAAAACCACACTCTCCTTAAAGAGAGTCACCCCCCCCCCAGCAAAACCACCACAGCTGTTTCTGCCCTTTAGATCTATTTGTTCATATTTTTATAAAATTGCCACCATGATACCATTTATTTAATTTTCTTTTCACTAAGCAGTTTGGCATTACACTGTATTTTGCTATCACTATGTTTTTGAAAATGTGCCTTTTTTGTTGTTGCCTACAAAAGGCATTTACAAAAATTTAAGAATAGTTGGTATATAATCTTATATTGGTTATATTGGTTTTAGCGATTAGACATTTTTATACCTTACAAAGTGATCATCCATTAATTATAGTATTTATCTGTCACCATGCCAACTTATCATAATATTATTGACTATATTCCCTTCCCCTTTTCACCCATCCTCAACCCCCTCCCTTCTGCTTACCATCCCTTTGGTCTGTTTCTATGAGTGTTTTTGTTGTTGTTGTTGTTTTTTCACTTTAAGATTCCACACATAGCCCTAGCCAGTTTGGCTCTGTGGTTAAAGCATGAGTCTGCAGTCTGAAGGGTCCCAGGTTCAATTCTGGTCAAGGGCATGTACTTTGGTTGCAGGCTCCTCCTCTGCCTGGGCCCTGGTCAGAACTCATGCGTGAGGCAGCCAATCAGTGTGCTTCTCTCACATTGATATTTCTCTCTGTCCCTCTTTCTTCCACGCTTCTTCTGGCACCCCCATAATTTGGATGTTGGTACACTTGAAGTTGTCCCAGAGGGCTCCTTCCACTATCTTCATATTTTTGGATTCTTTATTCTTTTCCAGTTGGGTGTTTTTTGCTTCTTTGTATTTCAAATCTTTGACTTGATTCTTACGATCCTCTAGTCTGCTGTTGGATCTCTATATATTATTCTTTATTTCAGTCAGTGTATGCTTAATTTCTAGTTGGTCCTTTTTCTTTTTTTTTTTTTTAAAAAAAAAATATATATTTTATTATTTTTTTTTATTGATTTTTTATAGAGAGGAAGGGAGAGAGATAGAGAGCTAGAAACTTCGATGAGAGAGAAACATTGACCAGCAGCCTCCTGCCCACCCCCCACCGGGGATGTGCCCTCAACCAATGTACATGCCCCTGACCAGAATCGAACCCGGGAGCCTTCAGTCCCTAGACCAATGCTCTACCACTGAGCCAAACCGGTTTCGGCTAGTTGGTCCTTTTTCATATCCTTGAACATCTCACTAAATTTCTCAGAGGTTTCTAGAAGATTCTTGAGTAAACTTATAATCATGGTTTTGAACTCTATATCCAGTCTTTCATCCAATTTTTTCATTTGTGACTTGTTTCATTATCTGTTTATTTTTGGCTGCTTCCCTGTGTTTGTTTCTATGTACTGAGTAGCTGCTAAGTCTCCTTGAATTGATAGAGTGGCCTTGTGGTAGGTGTCCTATAGGGACCAGTGGCTCAGACTTCCCAGTCATGTGAGGTGGACACTCATGGTGCACCCCTTTGTGGGCTGTATGCACAGTTTTATTGTAGTTAATCCTTGATTGCTGTTAGTATTACTGGGAGGAATTGACCTCTAGGACAATTGGCTTTGATGACCAGCTGTGTCTACACTGGAAGATCTGTTGTGCAGGAGACACCCGTATGGGGCAGGACTTGCTTCAGTGGGACTTTGGTGCTCACTGAGTCTGTCCCTTGAGTATCTCTCTTATGGATGTGAAGAGTTGTAATCTGAATGGTCTCACATTGACCACTGGGTACACTGGCTTTTGGATCTCCAAGGTGGTGCAAGGTCAGCCACTGTCTAGGGTCGCCCAGCAGGAGCTACAGAGACATCTGTAGATTCCTTCTCTTTGTATTGGGTTTAGAAGTGCCCAGATGAGGTCCAGCTATGAAGCAAGGCTGGCTGCTGCTGCTGGGCCTTGGGCCTTCTTTTAGAAGCTCTGGGGCTCTCTGACCCAGCTGCAGTTTGACAGGTTTTAGACAGAGAAAGGACAGGCCATTCATATGCAAAAGCTGATGTGCACAGCTTGGGTGGGGTTGTAAATTGGGTGGGTTGGGTCTCTGGGAGTCACTGGGACAGAGCAATGGCTGTCAGTCAGCCCTGCACCAGAGAGGTCCCTGCGTCTCCACGTCCAGCACCCAACAATGATCACTGTGAGCACCTCTGAGAAAGCCGCCCTCATGTTCCCAATGCCAGACGGTCCAGTTTCTCCCCGTATGTGTCTGGGTCCCCCAGAGTCTCGCCCAGAACTGGAGTTCAGAGCAAGCAGTAGCTTGTATCTCCCTCCCAATGAAAAGAGCAGCACATCCAGGTGCCAGCACTTTCTGTGCCGTGCACCTCTGACCAGCCTCACTGTGCTTTCTTCACCTCTCTAGTTGTGGAACTTCCACTCAACCAGCTTTTCCGTAGTTCTGGGTGGTAGTAGTTCTGCCTTTTAGTTGTAAATATGCAAATTGATCATCATTCCAATACACAAGATGGCTGCCCCCATGTGGACACAAGATGGCCACCACAAGATGGTCAGCAAGGGGAGGGCAGTTGGAAGGGACTAGGCCTGCAAGAGAGGGCAGTTGGGGGCAATCAAGCCTGCAGGGGAGGGCAGTTAGGGGTGACCAGGCTTGCAAGGGAGGGCATTTAGGGGCAATCAGGCTGGCAGGAGAGCAGTTAGGCATCAAACAGGCTGGCAGGGGAGCAGTTAGGCATCAATCAGGCTAGCAGGGGAGTGGTTAGGGGGTGATTTGGCTGGCAGGCAGAAGCGGTTAGGGGCAATCAGGAAGGTAGGCAGGTGAGCATTCGGGAGCCAGCAGTTCTGGATTGTTAGAGGGATGTCCAACTGCCCATTTAGGCCCGATCCTGGTAGGATTGGGCCTAAAAGGACAGTTGGACATTCCTTGAGGGATCCCAGATTGGAGAGGGTGCATAAATTTTATGCACCGAGCCTCTAGTATTTTAATAACTATGTATGGTGTTAGGTAGGGACTGGAAATAACAGGGGAACACTTTGTAAAAGATATGGTGTTTTATCACTATGATGTACACCTGAAAACAATCTCTCTATATAAAACCCTAGTACAGTGGTGCCTCACACAACGAACTTAATTCGTTCCAGGAGCAAGTTTGTTATGCGAAAAGTTCGTTATGTGAAACGCGTTTTCCCATAACAATACATGTTAAAAAAAATAATTCGTTCTGTAGCATAAAATATGCTAAGATAACATAAAAAAAGATAATTTTTTTGTTATTATTTTTATTTAGATACATCTAAAAACATAATTTTTTTTTTAAAAAAAACACACATTTTTTTAATTTTAAGACAGACTAAGTAGAGTCTACCGAATCTTGCACATCTTCATCCATTTTCTGCTTTTTGGCCGATGGTTTCATGAAAAACCTGTCCAAAGTAGTTTGTTTTTCTCTTTTCTCCAACATCTGCTGGAAATAACGGACAAGAGTATCGGAGTAAAGATCGTTGATCCTGTTTGCTTCAGCTGAATCCGGATAGTGGGCATTGGTAAACTCCTGAACTGCTTTCCATTTGACCAGGATGTTCTTGATGTCAGCAGTTGGGATTGGTTGATTGTTTGATTGTTGCTCCTCATTATCAGATGACGCTTCCCTTTGAGCATTGTCCTGTTGCTGGACCAGAAGTGCTTGGAGCTCTTCAGTTGTCAGCTCTTCTTCGTGTTCCTCAATAAGCTCCTCTACATCCTCTTCCTCTACCTCTAATTCCAACCTTTGGGCCACTGTGATGATGTCCTTCACCACTTCTGTGTCATCAACTACTGCTTCTTCCTGGGTCCACGAAGGCACAAGCTCGGGCGAAGCAGTCGTGGAAGCTCGGGCAAAGCAGTCATGGAAGCTCGGGCGACTTCGTTGTGTGAAACGAAGTTCGTTGTATGAATCATGAAATGAAGTTCGTTGTGTGCAGCGTTCACTGTGTGAGGCGTTCTTTATGCGAGGCACCACTGTATGCAAATAGACTGAACAGCAGAACAACTGAACCACCAGTCACTATGATGTGTGCTGACCACCAGGGGGCGCGCATGGAACATGGTGGGTGTTGGTAGCAGGTGGCAGAGCACCGAACATGGCAGGCATCGGCTGAGGTGGGATGGTGGAGCAGGTGAGTGGGGGCACCAACCAAGGCGGGTCGCCGGCCGCTGTCATTGGGGTGAGCCTCTAGTGGTCACTGAAAATTCTTTGCTCCCATACACTGTGGTCCCACCAGGCCTTCATACCTGCTGCTGGCGCCAGCCCCACTTGCACTTGCACCGTTGTCGGTGCCCAGCGTGGGTCCCAATCACTTGGCACTGTCAGCGTGTGTGAGTGGTGGCTGCTGCCCCGATCGCCCCTTAGGAGCAGGGAGAGGTGAAGAAGCCCTCAGGGTCAGTGGGAGGGGGAGAAGCCCTCAGGGTTAGGGGGAGGTGGAGAAGCCCTCAGGGGCAATCGGGGCCAGTAGCCAACACTCCAACCCACTGATGGCGCCAGCCCCACTGGCACCTGCTGCTGGTGCTGGCCCCAATCAGTCTGCACTGTCGGCAGATGAGCGGGGTCGGTGCTGTTAGTGCACGGGAGTGGCAGCAGTGGGGGTGGGGCTGTCGGCAGCAGTGGACCAGGGGCCTTAGTGGGAGGGGCTGGCCGGGGGTGTGGAGGATGGGCCGAGATATGGCCCTTTGCCCACCGTAGACTCATGGCCCACAGTACCTTTCAAGGTACACAAATTCATACACTGGGCCTCTAGTACAAAATAATACTAAAAGTAATCTATAATTGAAAAATGTAAAAATAAAAAAATAAGTAATACAAATCATATGGTATTTAAAAGGCAAAAAATGAAACAAAACAAAACCCTAATGCTCTTTTGGTCTAAACCTGGATTATCTGGGTACTATCACATTTAAAAACCTTTGTTAATTTTTAATAGGTGAGTGAGCTCCTATCCTATATAATAAAAGGCTAAAATGCAGATAGACCAAACGGCAGAACAACCGAACACCTGGTTGCTATGATGTGCACTGACCACCAGGAGGTGTGCACAGAACATGGCTGGTATTGGCAGCAGGCAGCAGAGTGTGGAACATGGCAGGTGTCAGGATGGCGGGATGGCAGAGCAGGTGAGTGGGGGTGCCAGACCAAGACGGGTCACTGTCATTGGGGCAAGCCTCTGGTGGTTACTGAAAATTCTTTGCTCCACGTGCCGGAGTCCCACCCAACACTTACACCGGTGCTGGTACCCGGTGCTGACCCTGATCCTAGGTGCTGTCAGTGGGTGTGAGCAGCAGCTGCTGGCACCTGCCCCAATCACTCTGTTCCATCAGCAGGGCTGCTGGCAGACAGGGGATGGGGGGGTAGGGGGAGACTGTGGCAGGAGGGGCCTAGCCAAGACCTGCCCCAGTGCCCACCGCAGCCTCCCTGCCCACAGTTCCTGTGAAGGTGCACGAATTCATGCACTGGGTCCCTAGTATCATATACTTTGCAACTGCAAATTTGTTCTTTTTCTGACTTGTCTTCTGAACCATTGTTTTGCAATCACCAAGTTGCTGTCTATTTGCCAAAGTAAACCAGTAACAAAAGAGGAGGAGAGAACCCCACTTGCATCCAAGTCCTAGATCCAATTTGTCCTAGCGGATGAGAAAAGTGCTGGACCCATAATCCATTCTTCGTCTGAGCAGCTCAGCTTTAATCATCGCACAGACTCACAGGTCTGTCGTGGGGTGTGAATAATCGCTCGCTGCTCCCCAGTCCCGGCTCCCACTCTCGCCAGGAACACACACGCCTTGGTTGGCGCAGAGAAACAGAGCCTCATTGACAGGCAGGAAGAGTGTGGGCCCAAGACTCTGTCCAAAGCTCCTTGCCCTTCCAGGAGCAGCCGCCAGCAGAGCGGTCTGGAGGGAGAGCGGTGGCTAACAGAGTTTGCTCCGGGTGACTGGCCATGAAAAGCCCGGATTTACTTAACTTTGGGTCCAGTAACCTTGACTGGCGCCCAGCACTGCGTGTTTGTTTGATCTCTTTCCACGGAGGCTTTTTAACAGCTTCTCTGAGGTATTTCACGCAGCACAAGACTCACCCATTTGAAGTTGCCCAATTCGGTGGTCACTCAGCCTACCACGGAGTGGTGCAAACATCCCACAATCCGATTGTGGAACACACTCACCACCCTGAAAGGAAACCCCGCAGCCAGGAGCAGTCGCTCCCCTTCTCCCCTACGAATCCAGCCCCAGGCACCCACTAATCTACTTTCCCCCTCTTCAAAGGCCTTTGTAACAAAATAATCCCTAGACTTTACTTTGATTTACTTCTTGGCTGTACAAGACTGGACATTCACAATAGCTTGATGCACTCCCCCCCCCCCCGCACTCCCCCCACCCCTCACACACACACACAAAAGACCAGCAAAGACAGAGCTGTCAGGTTCCACTCCCAGAGGCAGCCACAGTCCCAGCTGTCCCTGCCCCCACCTGGCCCCCAGCGGCTTCGCTCTGGTCTCCTGCGGAGGCTCTCCTGACCTTTGCCAGTAACTCAGCACACTTCTCCCACTGGAGGAGCAACGGACTATGAACTTGGGCGAAGTGTGCCCGACTGGAAACGACTGAGGAGGACATGGCCCTGCTTGGGGGGGGGTGGGGGGGGAGGCACAGCAGGCTCTTTCTAAACACCCTCAGAGGTGAGACACAGGACAGATCAGGCTCAAACACTGTGGGGGGGGGGGGGGCACAGGAAGGAAGCTGCTCTGTGGCTGCTACACTCAATCCACAGAAACCCCTTCTCGGGAGCAGGGAGCAGCGGTGCAGCGACGCCCAGGCTGTGCGACAGCAGCCGGCCCATCACAGCTGCCCAGGGAGCAGCGCAGGGGGGGGGGGGGGCAGCGCACCTGGGGCAGCGGCAGGTGCTTTGGGCAGCGTGGTCATCTCTCCCACTGGCGTCTGGACGAGATGGTGCGGACAATGCCTGGACTCATACGGAAGTGAGGAAAAGGCCTATTATCTACGCATCCTCAGATTTTTAATGGGATTCAGGCCGATTCCCTTGGAGACCACAGATTGCTGATCAGCAAACGGGCAGGACCTGGACAGATCCTCTGTCTGGTGCCTGGCCGCCTGCTGTCCGCAGGGCTCCCTCTGCACCAGCCCAGCTTTGGAGACGCTTCGGGACCAAGGCCGGGGAAGGCAGGCGTGGGTGGAGAAGGGGGACCTGGAGGGGTTGCACCATTTTGGAAGGAAGGCAGGAGGGAGGGGTTTCCAAGCGGGGAGCGGGCTGGGGAAGCAGCACAGGCACTTCCCTCCTCCCTCCTGCCCGTCCCAGCCCCCTGGCCCTGCGCTGTGCTGGCACTGGGCTGCGCAGTGAACAGTTTAGACCATTGAGGAAGGAAGGACGTCCGGCTGCTGTTTGGTCCTTGCGAGCAAAGGCTTTCCGTCATGTAACTTCATCACCACCCCAACCCCACAAAGGCAGGGCAGTCCTGACTGCGCACGTGAGGAAATGGGAACTTAGGTGGATGGGGCACTCGCCCAAGCCCCAGAGTCCCTGGTGCTGGAGCGGAGATGGGCGACGGGAGATGTGAACTCCCACCGGTGGCCGGTGGCCGTGTCCTTACCCCACTCACCCACCCAGCCAGCATGGGGGGAGCTTGCATTTTCTTTCTTAGGCTGGCACTTTCCGCAGCAGGCATGTTTAATGAAGGTGTGTGCACTGTGTTGGATAACACTGAAGGGCCTAAGTCTAGTGTAGACATGCCTTCCACATGCACAGGAAACCAAAGGCAGCCTGTGGCCGGCAGGGTGGCGATTCTTGGCTATTGGGGTGGCCTGAACCTGCCCCCCTGCCCAGGCGTGCCTGTGCCCTGACCAGATCTGCCTCCCTCTTCCCTCTGAGGACTCTCCGGCCCCGGCCCTCCTGCATGATCCGGGTGAGTGCAGGGGAATCTGTCCTGACGTGAGCCAACTGGTACCCCCAGGAAGGACATCGCTACCTTCCCTGCAGCAAAAGCGCCCTCTTTCAGCAGCCTGCAGCCGGCAGGCTGCCTCCGGTCCTCCGATGCGTGTGTGTGAGCTACGTTAGCCCTGGCAGCGGACTGCGGAGGACACAGGCATGCCCACGTGGAGGGTGTGGTGCCCGAGCCCTGGGTGCACTCCCCAGGAATGAGCGTCTGGCTTCCTGGTCTACAACTGTGCTGTTTATGAGGTGCTTCCCGTGCCGATGGCACCGCAGAGCCCACCGTGCAACGATGCTTCTGTGTGTCCTGGGGGGGGGGGGTACTTGTGATACCAGAAACACATTTCTTACAGTGAAACGGGGTCACCCAGCTCCTCACTCCACAGCCAAGGCAGGAAGCACGGCCCAGCTAAGCAGAGGGTGGGAGGGAGTGGAGTCAGGATGAGGAGCAGGGAGGCCCGGTGTGGCTGTGAGGACGCCGGTGGGGCCTGCTGGGCGGTGGGCTGGGCAAGCTGGTGACTGCACCGCGGGCCTGAGGGGTGGGGGGTGGGGAGGCAGGAGTGGGCTGGTGTTTCATAGCCTCAACCTCAGCCACACCGCAGCCAGGCCAGGCTTCTCTCTCTAACGGACACACGGTCTGCCTGGCCCAGCTCTCTGCTCCTCAGAGCAGCCCTTTCCTTTCTTCTGGAGGCCCCGCCCGAGGGTGCACTGACTGTAACCCCCTGCGGGCTTCTCCTGGCTGCTCTGGTCACGTTAACATTCCTCTGTGCCGTCCATCCCCCCCCCCCCCTTTTTTTCCCCTTGATTTCAGAGAGGGAGAGGAAGAGAGAGCCAGAAACATCAATGGTGAGAGAGAATCATGGATCGGCTGCCTTCTGCACGCCCCCTACTGGGGATCAAGCCTGCAACCCAGGCCTGTGCCCTGACGGGAACTGAACCTGGGACCCTTGGGTCCATAGGCTGACGCTTTACCCACTGGGCCACACCGGCCAGGGCTGAAGCCCTCCTTTTTCAAACGACAAACAAGCTCCCTGGACCCGGCCACCTGCCTCCCCCCGTCCTCAGCCCGGGGCCAGCCCGGCTGCGTCCTGCGGGGCTCCCTGCGGCTGGGCCTGCGCCCGAACGCTCCGGCAGGCTCTCCTCTGCCCATTCTCCATCATCCTGAGACTGGCTCACAGCTGGCTCCTGAACCTGCCCACCCCAGCGAGGCGTGTCCGTCTTCTGGCTGAGACCCCTCAGGCATCTCCCCCCATTTAAATTATTTAAATTGCCACGTTGTGCGGAAGCCCTTTACACGGTGCCCCCTTCCCTGTGACTGAACCTGCCGCGACGGCCACGCCGCTCCCTTTACACCAGCACCCCACAGCTCCCCGCTGGGACCCCACGAAGGCGCGTCCAAGCCGAGTGAGGGAGCGCCCCACACGCTGGTAGGGTGCCCCCCTGGGGTGCTGTGGTGAGGTCACAGCTGAGGCCTCCCAGCCTTCCCCAGGGCCACTCAATAGCCATGCTGGTCCGGGTGGGTCGCCAAAGCGGGGGCCTTTGAGGACCCCTCGCCTTTGAGGGTCAGCCCCACTCAGACCCCTCAGCGGGGGCTGCAGCCTCTGCTGTACTAGCATCACCGCGCCCGCTCGCCCCGCTCGCCCTGCCCCCTCCTTCCTCAGTGACCCCGCCCACTGCCCACTCCCTCCTCAGTGACCCCGCCCACCGCTCACTCCCTCCCCAGTGACTCCCCACTCCCTCCTCAGTGACCCCGCCCACTGCTCATTCCCTCCCCAGTGACCCCGCCCACTGCCCACTCCCTCCCCAGTGACTCCCCACTCCCTCCTCAGTGACCCCGCCTACCGCCCTCTCCCTCCTCAGTGACCCCGCCCACCGCCCACTCCCTCCTCAGTGACCCCGCCCACCGCCCACTCCCTCCTCAGTGACCCCGCCCACCGCCCACTCCCTCCTCAGTGACCCCGCCCACCGCCCACTCCCTCCTCAGTGACCCCGCCCACCACCCACTCCCTCCTCAGTGACCCCGCCCACCACCCACTCCCTCCCTCCTCAGTGACCCCGCCCACCACCCACTCCCTCCTCAGTGACCCCGCCCACCACCCACTCCCTCCTTAGTGACCCCGCCCACCACCCACTCCCTCCTCAGTGACCCCGCCCACCGCTCACTCCCTCCTCAGTGACCCCGCCCACTGCCCACTCCCTCCTTAGTGACCCCTCCCCTCCCACTCCCTCCCCAGTGACCCCGCCCACTCCCTCCTCAGTGACTCCGCCTCCCCCCGCCCACTCCCTCCTCAGTGACCCCGCCCACCGCTCACTCCCTCTCCAGTGACTCTGCCCACTCCCTCCCCAGTGACCTTACATCCACATCTCCATCCCATCACAGGCCTCTCCAGGGAGAGCACCCCCTAACACAAGCACCCCCCAGCTCCTCCTGACTGCATCCCCTGAAGCACGTGATCTTTCCTGAGGGTTCTTGGTGCTCCCAACGGGATAAAGCTCCTCTCAGGCCTCATTTCTTCCGAAACATTGCACTTTGCCGTTCCCTCCCCTCATTTCCTTTCTTTACACAGACTCAGCCTTAGAGATGTGGTGCACAGAGCTGCTAGTGCTGCTGAGTCTTCCGAGGGAAGCCCGGCATGCCCCCTGCCATGGGCTCCGGAGCCGCTGAGCGGAGGGCCCGCTGGTCCGGGGTGGGGAGACCGTGGGTGGAGGGGACTCGCAGTGGCCACACACTTCCACTCACTCAGCCACCTCCTCTTCTTGGCTGAGACTCAGCCCTGACTCGGGGTTAGGCGGGGTGTGGGTGTGGGGCTTTTCTGAGGGTGTGATGTGCAAGTGTGTGCCAAAAGGGGCTGATGCCTCTGCAGGTGCGGCCCTTCCCGGGATGGAGAGGAAAGAAGCTGGCCATGGGCATTCCTGTGCAGCAGCCTCAGGAAGGCGCGGGGGAGCGGGATCCGGGGAGGAGACTCCGCTCAGGGGTGACCATCCCCACCCCAGGCTGTAAGGATGCGGCTGAAAACCAAGGTATGAGCTCAAGCTAATGGTTATTTGGTCAAAGGCTGTGATACCTTAATGCTGCGCTTTCTATTCTTTTTTCCTTTCTCCAGTTGAAGCAGATAGCCTTCGGAATTGGTGCGGCTTATTTTCAGCTGGTTCCTTCGGCTTTTCTCTGAGTTGAGTTGGGATTCACTTTCTGTTCTTGGCAGAATGGGTGGGAATATGACCCTGGCCGAGGCCCCTGCGCCGGGCTGCACCTCGGCCAGCTGTGCCAAGGCTTGCTGGTGCTGCTCCATGAGCCGCCCCAGCCGCGAGCCTGGGGCCTCCTCAGGGGAGCTGTCCGGGGAAGGATGGAAGTTCCTTATGGGGAAAAAGCACAGATCTATGAATAAGACCTGATACGCACATAGCACAACACTCTTTAGCAACCATTATTTTGATGTATTTTTTACTCCATAAATCACTTTAAAGACCTTTTCATACATTAATTTCTTAACTCAAAATACATACATATATATATATTTTAGGGGCCCGTCCGGTGCATGAAATCCATACACTCAGGTTGGGGGGGGGGGGTCCCTTACACAGTCCAGGAGCCCTTGAGGAATGTCCAGTTGGCTAGCGGGCCTAAGCTGTCAGTCAGACATCCTTAGCACTTCCATGGAGGTGGGAGAGGCTCCCACCACCACTGTTTTGCTTTCCAGCCATAAGCTCAGCTTCTGGCTGAGCTCCTGCATTGATGGTTTGACCCCTGGTGGTTAGTGCACATCATAGCAACTGGTCGTTCTGCCATTCAGTCAATTTGCATATTAGCCTTTTATTATATAGGATTATTATTGATTTCAGAGAGGAAGGGAGATGGAAGAAAGAAACATCAATGATGAGAGAGAATCATTGATCAGCTGCCTCCTGCATGGCCCCTACTGGGGATCAAGCCTGTAACCCGGGCATGTGCACTTGACCAGAATCGAACCTGGGACCGTTCAGTCCACAGGCTGATGCTCTATCCACTGAGCCAAACCAGCTAGGGCTATTTTTATCTTTAGATTAATCTAGCTTTTATTTATAACTTTCATTTATTGCACTTTAAAAATAAAAAAATAAAAACCACACCATTTTGGAAAGTGAAAGAATTTTCCACTCCAAAATACCTAATAATGCTGGATTAAATGAAACAAAAATCCTTTCACAAGTAGTTGAATTCGTATGAAAAGCAGGGAATCTTCAAAGACAAATCAAACAAAAACAAAACCCTAAAAGTAAAGCAGATTTTGCATAAACTGAAGCTATTAGGTCCAAAACGTCTCCTGAGTTTTAACGTTTGACACGAGCTGGATATGGGAGACCATGTGTGACGGGGAATCAGGTCGGAGATGCCTGTATGAAGCTGCAGCCCTCAAAGAGCTGCACCTCTACACAGAGGCGGCGTGCTGAGAAGCTCATTGGCCAGCCATGACAAACAGCAGGGCAAGCCTACCTGTCTCGGTCTAAGCTCTGAATTGGGGAAAAAAAATTTTCTGTGAATTTCCATGGGAAAATATTTAGGTTAAATTTTACTTTATATAATCATGGCAACTTAACACAAAGAAATTAACATAAAAATGATCCTGGAATCAGGGTGCCTCTGTAGAAATGGGGGAAACAAAATAAAAAGGTTCTCTGGAGGAATACAATGTCACCCCAGGCTGCCTAGCAGTCTACAGACAAGATGGCTGAGCATAAGCTGGCAATCCCAAATCCTAGGATAGATGAGGACATACTCTACCAAGTATGAGAGTTAGCAGACAAATATGCACACACACAAAGCAGTAGAATATTTCTAAGAACTTCAGATAATAGAATGTTAGATAACATTCATAAAGTAAGCATGTTTAAAATCATTACAGATATGAAAGAAGAAATCAAAACTCTGAGAAATATATTTGGAAAAAAAGAACAGGAAGGTTCTAATCAGAACCACATAAAGATTCTCGACAGAAAAATACCCTCATTAAAATGTATAACTCAATGGGTATATTCTCCCAGCTGAGGAGAGCTACTGCACTGCAAAACTCATCAGAGGAAACTTCTCAGAAAGAAGCACAGAGAGATAACAGCTGAAAAATAAAGAGTTAAAAAAGATACACAGTCTAGAATAAAAGAATCTAATATACATGTGTTTGGTGTTTCCAGAGGAAAAATAAAGCAAATATGGAAGACATAATATTCAAAGGGAAAACTGGTGGTAATTTTTCAAAATTTATGAAAGAGATGAATCCTCATATTTAGGGATCATAGAAGAATAACAATTAGGATTTAAAGTTTCATACCTAGATAATTCACTGTGAAACTTCAGAATACTAAAAGCAAAGGAGAGACCTTAAAAACAACAAGAGGAAAACAAACAGATTCTAAACAAAATGAATAATTATATTGATAAAAGACTTTTAAAAGAACACAAACTAGGCGATAGAAAAATAATGTTTTTGAAGAGGTTAATTCTCTATTCAGGTTAAACCAGTGTTTCCCAACCTTCTCTCATGATGAGAATCACCTGGTGGAGTTGTTAAAACACAGATTCCCGGATCCCAACTAAGAAGTGCTAAACTAGAATTTTTGGGAACATATAGGTAAAATTGCATACCTAACTTAGTGCTCTGTATATAAAATCTGTCTTAGAGCACTAGTTAAGTATACAATTTTACCTATATGTTCCCAAAAATTCTAGTTGAGCACTTCTTAGTTGGGATCCAGGAATCTGTGTTTTAACAACTCCACCAGGTGATTCTCATCATGAGAGAAGGTTGGGAAACATTGGGTAAAACTATACTTTCAGATGAAGGATAAAGTGACTGCAGGTAAGTTTACCAGCGCTGGAGGCTGATTCCAGCAGGTCATAAAGACAATCAATGTAAGTAGTCAAAGTTCAAATCTGCCTACAAACAATAGAACAAAGTGAAACAAAAAGTACATATAACTTGAATAGTTTTACAAAAAATTCTATGAAATCTTTAAGTAATGGAGGTATCCCGAAGAATGCAAAATAGGGGCATACTCCCCAACTCCTTTTATAAGGCTGGTATATCTTCATAATCCAGGGGAGATGGGGCCAGTGGCAGATAGGGAAATTCTAAGCCTGGGTCTTTTGTCTTTCTCTCCTTCTTCCCTCCCTCCAACCTCTGGCTTAACTAGAGTGGAGGAGACAGGGAAAAAGAAAAAATACATCAAAAGTGGACTATTTTAGGCAGAAATTGGAGCCAAGGATGGTGTTAGGTAAATTTTTCCTTTCCTCTGACCATGCCATGACCCTTCCACCCCCCACCACTTCCCATCCTTCGGTTCATGTCTTTCTCCTCTAGAAATCCACTTTCGAAAACAGCATTCTTACCATAATATTTCCAAGTTCTTATATCCAGCCTCTGGGTAAGTAGGTTTGGGTTGCTTCTTATTTTCAGTTGCTCTGCTAACATTTACTTTAGAAGCAGACTGAGAGCCTTTGTGACGCAGGGGCACTTGTCTCTTAGTGAGTCCATTAGGGTAGTTCAAGTCCATATGGGCAAGAGTGTTCATGTGTAGCTGCTGGTATAAAATTCTGTCCTCTTCTTGATCTTTGCGTCCTCTTTTTTTGTTAAAATTCATCACCGAGTGGTAGCCAGGAGCATTTTTGTATAATAACACCTTGTCAAAAGTCTGCTGCGGTGGAGTGAATCTGTGGGAGGCTTCATGGGGACCCTGGCCCCTAGGAGCCCCTGAGTGTTGCAAGTCACCGCGGGGGGCAAGCGTGACTGCAGCTGCCTCGTGCCTTCTGGACGCCTCCCCAGGCTTGTTCTGAGATTGTCGTCTGGGAGTGTTTTTCGGGTTCCCCTGACTGAAAACCAGCTCCTCCGTCACCGAAGACTTCCGGCCGTGCCTGTGCTTCTGCTGTGTGCGGGCCCTGTGCCCGGCGGCTCTTCTGGAAGGCTGCTGGCCACGGGCGGCTTCAGGGGGTGGCCCTCCGGGTTCCTGACTTGATGTCGCACTTTCATAGTGAGACCAGTGTTCCTGGTAATGCCAAAAAGATAGTTCTGGTTAATGTGAAGTTAAAAGATCGGCCCTCCATCAGCAGATGATTGGATCCAAAAACTATGGTACATCTACACAATGGAATACTATGCTGCCATAAAAAAGAAATTCTCATCATTTGCAGCAACCTGGATAGAATTGGAGAACATCATGCTGAGTGAAATAAGCCAGTCAATGAAAGAGAAACACCACATGACCTCACTCATATATGGATAATAAAGAACATTATAAACTGAAGAACCAAAAGATAGATATAGAGACAGTAAAGCAACAAGCAGTCAAATTACAGCAGGTAGGGTAGGGAGATCTGAGGGAGATAATAGATCAACCGAAGGACTTGTATACATGCATATAAGTACAACTAATGGACACAAAACTCTGGGGAGGGAGGGCATGTTTGGGGGGGAGCAATGGTATATGTACAAAGATAATAATTTAATTAAAAATTTAAAAATAAAAAAATAATAAATAAATAAATAAAAGATGGGCCCTCTTCACACATTTAAATGACTGTTTCATTGGGAGCTGAGACTCGCAGGGAGGTGACCGTGGCGTTGACAGGGGACAGACTACAGAGCTTCTTTCCTGTCTCCGGCCATGAGAGGAGATGGCCGGCGACTCCTCCTGGGATTTTAGAGTCTACATTTTTTAGAGAAACAGAGAGTTTAGAATGGACTTTCTACCAAGGATAAGACTTTGACTTAAAATCTTATAAAATGAAATGTTACTAAGTTTGGGTGGGGAGAGAAGCTTTACTTCTAAAGAGCTGCATACAAAGAAAAAGCAAAATATTTAAGTTTGTTTATTTATTTATTTATTTATTTATTTATTTATTTATTGTTAATCCTCAACCGGGGATATTTTTCCAGGTGAGGATTAACAAATTTTCGAGCGGGTGGACAGGAATGGGAGACACAGAGAAAAACATCATTGTGAGAGAGACAAATCCAATGGTTGTCTCCCACATGAGTCCTGACGGGGCTGGGATTGAGCCTGCAGCCAAGGTACATGCGCTTGATCAGAATTCACCTCGGGACCCATTCAGTTCGCAGGCTGATGCTCCAGACCGGGTAGGGCAAGTTCACTTGAACGAATATGAATATTTTAAAAATATTAACCAGAAAGAACATGATTTGCTTTACCAACCAAGCACAAGTTTAGTATGAAATACACTTCACTTATCATATCTTTTACTCATGTAGTTCAGCAGCTAGAAATGACCTCTTCACCAAATGGAACAAATTGGATTTTGTAAGAGTCTGCACTCTGATAGGACGTCTGTGAGTCCACAAGGGCTGTTTTGCTTCTGTTCCTTAATGTAGCCTGTACGTAGGCAATCAAACGTCTGGGGGAAATATTTCAACTGCACAACAGTCTTCATGCTTTTCAAAGTCTTGTAACAACAAAATGTACTCCTGATATAATAGGTACACTACATACTAAGTCATTTAGAAATATTTTTCAAGGAATAAAGCACTCATTACTTTGTGAAAAATTCGCTGAGCTAAGAAGCCATTGCAAAGAATGAATAACTGCTCACTGGAGACAGTCGGGTGGCCATATGCATCCGCATGGCATCTACCTGTGCCCATGCCTCCTTCCTGAGCACACGCGTGTGAAAGCTTGTGGTCTGAGTCCACAAAACATTCATCCAAATATGCATGTTTCCAGGATCATTTGAGAAAAAAGGCTTAGAGTAAGTAAGTCATGTTTTTGCTTAAATGGTTTACCCTGCTATGAAGAATGATCAAAGTATTGCAATGAATTCAACTTTTATTTCACTTTCCTGGTATAATTGCTAAGACTCTTTCTATACTGTATAATATTAGGTGGTATTCTATTTTGAATGAAATCTCATTATAATGATAAGGGGGAGACTAAAACATAGAAGAGAGTTTTACTTCTTACCAGATTTTTAAAGTAAGAATGGCTTATATTTTGAAGTTTAGAGTATGTTCTCTTCCGAATTGGAGATTTCTGGAGGATTGGCCAAATTCTGATTAGCTCCTCTAAACTTTAATTTTTTAATTTTTTTTTTTTTTAACCTGTGATGCTCCAAAAAAGGAAAGGTCCTTTTCTGTATTCCAGTTAAGACAGGCTGTGGCCCTGGCTGGGTAGTTCAGTTGGTTAGAGGGTTGTCCTGGTACACACAGAGAAAGGTTGTGGGTTCGAGGGCACACGCAAGAATCAACCAATGAATGCATCAATAAGTGGAATGACAAACTGATCTCTCTCCCCTCTCTCTCAAATAGATGATTTAAAAAGGAAAGACAAGTCCTTCCTCCCAGTCAGTGCCTTGAGCTGCGTGGGAATGTGGGCGAGAAGGCTCTGCAGGTGCCCGCGAGCACCCTTCTTTGCAGTGGATCTGGAAGAAACCCGTTGTTTAGTCTCACAGGTGTGTGCATGAAGCATGTGGCTCTTTTCATGGCTGGCATCACTGTCCGTGACAGGCAAGAAGACCGTGTGCTGGGATCTATAAACATGTACTGATGCTGATAAGGTCGTTCTTTGTCATATCTTTTCAGACTTTTAACTGCTAGAAAAATAAGTGACCAGAAACTATTTTTGCTGCCATCCAACTATACTTCCTTTAGCTCTCTTTCCTCATTTCCACACACACAAAAAAATAAATAAAATAAAATAAAATAAATAAATAAATAAATCTATTAGGAATGTTTTTTCCTGGGTACAGACATGAAATCTCGGTGACAGCAGTGTTCCTCCCAGGGTGCACTGTCAACAGGTCAAGGACTCATCGTTTCACGGAACTTCGTCTCAAGTGTTAAATGTGCTATTCACATAAATGTAAGTGCCCAGAGGTGGCATTTTAGTCCCCAGGAAGGATGACACTTATGGGCTTGATGTGATTTCTCTTACTTTCCCTGTAGCCTACTTGAGATCTGTGGTTTACCCAGGACTTATTAACCTACAATGGAGGCATCAGGTGTCACACGTTAGGTGGTAAGACCTGAGTTCCCTGAAGTTAATACACGAAGCCATTCTCAGGCCATTTAATCTCCGTCAGCACTGAAATCCTCATTTCATCTGCTCTTGCTGGGGTTCTTTTGTTGCCCGCAAGCACAGCCAGCCCATGCTGCATGCACTCAGAGCAACTGCTTAATGGCTGGAGGCTTTCCTGGCGCACACAGAGCGGGGTCCTTCGGCTGCACTGTCAGCGCCCGGGCATCCTGGTGCCTAATGCCAGGATGATGATTTCTTGGTGAGACCCGACCTTAGTTAATGTCTGTTCCCACTGGGCCATCTGAGAGAAGTTCCCCCAGCCCTGTGAAAGGCGGACTAGATGTTTCATCTTTCGTGGCTTTGCTGTTTGCGTGGCACAAGCAGAGCGGAGAATATATGCTCTGATCTCAACCAGGAAGTTCATCATTCAGAACAGGCTGCAATCTAGCTGAGGGGAAGGCCTACAAGTAAGGGTATAAAAAAAAAGTTACACGAGGCGGGTAAAAGCAGTAGGAACATGGAACAGGCTGGCCCCACAACCACATATGGTGATTGAAAAATCAGGAGGGGTGTCTTGGATGTGGAGGTCCCCACTGAGGAGCGAGGGGTCTTACCCCACACCAGATCCCCCAGCCCGGGCTCCAGCTCCAGGAAGGGAAGTCCCCATAACTTCTGGCTGTAAAATCAGTGGAGCCCAGCCGGTATGGCTCAGTGATTGAGCACCAACCTATGAAACAGGAGGTCATGGTTTGATTTCCAGTCCGGGCACATGTCCGGGTTTTGAGCTCGATCTCCATTGTTGGGCGTGCAGGAGGCAGCGGATCAATGATTTTCTCTCTCATCATTGATGTTTCTCTCTCTCGCTCCCTCTCCCTTCCTCTCTGAAATCAATTAAAAATATATTTTTTTTAAAAAATTGCTTAAAATTAATATATATAAAAAAAACAAACCAGTTTCAAGGTGGCAGTAGAGATTTTGGCTGAGTGAGGCAGAGGATGCTGGAGTCCCTCTTAAAGGGCCTGCACACGGCCTTATTCTGCCTCACTCCCTCTGAGCTCCGTGCTGGGGAAGCAGCTTGAAAGGCACCACAGACACCTGGAGGCGGCGTTCTCCCAGACAGAAGTGCTGGCAGAGGCTATTGTTTCTGTGCTTAGACTCCCCCAGCAGAACCAGCAGGCAGGGGCCATAAACTGAGTTTCCCTCAATGTCTCACACTGTTCACCTTGCCCTTGTGATTCCCTGATACCCCACCCCATGCCCCCTGCAGGCCCACCAAAACCACCTCCAGTGGCTTTTTCATACAAACAGCCTGGCTCGGCTCATGTGCGGACTTTCCTAAACCATCTCTAAGGTTCACGCACCCCAAACAAGCAGGTCCTGGCTTCTTGGTGGCCCCATGCATCTTGTTAAGTGGCCCCAGGTCCAGCACTAGCAGCAGCAAGCCTTCGCTCACAGCTTGGCTTGGCCTCTCCTGAGCACCTCCATGCCCAGCACAAGTAGCAGCCATCTGCACGTCACACTGTGGCTCATGCTGGGTGGCTTACCTTGTCCTGCACCTCCCAGGAGACCCCAGAGCCAATGTACCTGATGGACAGATTCAGACTGTCCACCAAAGCACTATACAACCACTTCCCAAGCAACACATTCAAGGGGAGGTGTCACCAGACATAGAACTCAACTGAAGCAAGTCCTCCTACATGGGGTGAGGCCTGCACAGCTGATCCTTAATTGTGGTCTCACCACGCCTCAAAACCAATAGGCCTGGAGGTAAACACCTCCTATTGGTGCGCCAACAGCAATCAACGCTCCAACAACAGGATGGTGCACACAGCTCACAGAGGGGTCATACCTGGCGTGCCCAGTCTGAGTGACTGGGGAGGCTGTGCCACTGGACTCCACAAGACACCTACTACATTAGGCCACTCTACCAAGACCAGGAGATACAGCACCTCTACCTAAAACCAAGAAACAGACACAGGAGGCAGCCAAAGCGAGGAGACAAAGAAACCTGTCCCAAA